AGGCTCCCAGCTGTCAGCACGGAGCCCGACGCGGGGCTTGAACTTATAAAACGCAAGGTCGTGACCTGAGCCAAAGTCGGACGTTTAGCTGACGGAGCCACCCAGGCGCCCCACCACCCTTAGCATTTAGATCTTGGTTTTTAAATACCATCCTCCAACAAAAGGATCCAGGGTCACTTGGAGAAGTGATTGATTCCAAGGCTAGAGACCAGAAAAATGCAGGATGAGCCTAGAGTTATCCTGTGGGGCCAGAACGTGAGGAGGTACTGGAAGAAAAAAAAAAAAAAAAAAAGGGAGCATGTTAAAAGGGCACCAGAACCAACTTGAAAGAGCTTCCTGTGGCTCATGCTGGAACAATTTGACCAGCAAAAATGAATTTAGTAGGGGCTCTGGGTGGCTTAGTCGGTTAAGCGTCCGACTTCAGCTCAGGTCATGATCTCATGAATCGTGGGTTCGGGTCCCGCGTTGGGCTCTGTGTTGACAGCTCAGAGCCTGGAGCCTGCTTCTGATTCTGTGTCTGCCCCCCTCTCTCTCTCTCTCTCAATAAATAAACATTAAAAAAATGAATTTAGTATTGGGCTGTAATCCACAGAATAAACTAAAATATCTATGAATTCATACTAGCATAAGAAATAACTGAGTAAAAAAACAACCAGGGAAAAAAGGGAAGTTCTTCTTTATGGAAGAATTCTGGTAAGGGTAGAAGGAATGAGGGAAAGAAAAATCATCATTAGCCACACACCACAGTAATAATTGTCATTGTGGCCAAGATCCACTGATCCACATGAAACTTAGGAGATGAAATTTTGAGAAGAGACACAATGCTTGCATGTTCCACAGTATCTTCCCCAAGATATTTATTTAGTACAGAGAGGATAATAGTAACTTTACACTGGAGACACCCGGCGGACACCAGTTTTAACATCAGTGGTAATAAGACACACTGACATCACCTGTCCCCTGACAGGAGGCACTGAAAGGGCACATCACTTTTGTGGTCTTCATGCCAAAGGTGCATAGCCTCAGCCTAATAAGAAACCATCAGACAAACCCAGTTGGAGGGACATGATACAAAATAACTGACGAGTACTCTTCAAAAGTGTCAAAGTCATGAAGGATGACAGAAGTCTAAGGAACTATCACACTTTGAAGAAGACTAAAGAGATCTGACGGCTGAATTCTGTGTAAGATCCTGGAACAGGATATTAGTGGGAAAACTGGTGAGGTCTGAATGAAGTCTGTAGTTTAGTTAATAGCACTTTACCATTTTGAACTTCTTGACATCCATAATTGTCCTTTAGTTACATAAGATGTTAATGCCAGGGGAGGAAGGCGGAACTTACTATTTTCGTAACTTTTTGGTAGTACCGAAATTATGTCAAAATTAAAGAAAAAAAGGCAAAACCAAACCAACAAAGGTAAAACATCTGTCAACCCCGCAGCTCCCTCCTCTCTACTGAACTTCTTTCCTTCCCTCACCCACTATTACTGTTCAGCTTTTGTCCCATTTGCCACTGAAACAGCTCACCAGTGACCTCCATGCCACTAAATTTCGTAGACATTTTCCAGTCCTTGTCTTAACCTCTTGACAGCATTCAACATTGTGGATCGGTTCCTTTTTGAAACATTTTCTTTGGCTCACCTAGCACATGTCCTGGTTTTCTTCTTACCTCTCTGGTTATTCCTTCTCTTTCTTTGATAGATGACCCTCCTTTACCCAGCCTTCACATATTGCCATCCCTCATCACTCCATCTACCCTCCTCTGCCAAATCTATATTTAAGCATGAAGTGCTTCTATGTTCAGTTACCATTTATACACAGATAAATCACAAATTTTTATCTCCAGCCCCGTATGTCAACTGCCTACATGAAATGTCCATTGAAATTTGTCCAAAGCGAATTTATTAACCAAAATGCATTTTTAACACCAAATTCTCTGTATGGCATTGTAGTAGATGCAAAGAATTAGAAGTTGTCCTTGTCTTCAAGCAGCTTACAGCCTAAAAATGTAGAGACAGGCCTTGTGATATAATGCTTAAAGTCGTGGGCCTGGGGTCCTGGACAACTGGGTTCCAATCATGGCTCTACCACTAGCGGTGAGATGACCGCGAGTAAGTTGTTTAGCCTCCATGGGCCTTAGTTTCCCCTTACGTAAAAGAAAATTCTTCCTAACAATGCTGTTGCAAAAATGAAAAGGAATTACATAAATCACTCGGTGATGTAGACACAAAGGTGAGCTCTCTCGTACTGTAGTGGTATTTCAGTAATGTGGGGAGGTGTCAGAATGCAAAGTAGCATGTGCCAGTGCCAAGACAGTTCTGGAAACACGAAGTATGGAATGAAATCTAGGGAAGGAGGCTTGTGATCTGGGATGCCTAGGGAAGACATCATAGAGGTGGTCGGTATGGAGTGGAGAATGGGGAAGAATTCTGATTAAAAACAAATTTTGATGAAGAGGTAATAGGTTGTGGTAGAAATAATAAAGGCTTTGTAGTAATAGGATTTGGCTCTACTTCTGAATAACTGTAATTTTAGATGAATTCGTTTTTAAACGCAGCTTTCTCCACGTATAAATTGCAGACATTGAGGTCTGTCCTAACCACCTTATATGGTGGTTGTCAGTAATAGATGCGAAAATATTTGTTGTACAGGAAGATACGGCATAAATTCCAGACGCTTACTGTTGATCAGTGCACCTCAGTGGAGAGTGTGGCCTTTCGAGTTGGAAACACCTAAGTCAGAATCCGAGCTCACACTAGCTGTGACCTGGAGCCAGCCAGTCACTTCCACTCAGAGCTCTAGTTTTCTCATCCCTGAAACGAAGCCATATTCTTTGCCTCAGTGTAATGCTGTAAGGCTAGAATATGCTCCTTTTCATTCACGAAGGCCCGCCAGCAGCCAGGCAGGCAGAAGCACTGTGAGCAGTGAAGACGGTGCACATGGAGTACTCGTCCAGTGATGACGCCGTCAAAGCTAGGATTGATTGCCTTGTATGCGTATTTAGCCCATATGTAAGTGATATGTGGCAACTAATGTGACAAATCCTTTTTTCAGATCCCATGTTAGATCTGGATATTCAAGAATTAGCCAGTCTTACCACTGGTGGAGGAGATTTGGAGAATTTTGAAAGACTGTTTTCCAAGTTAAAGGAAATGAAAGGTAATTGGATCCATTGCGTCTGACACATTCCCGTCCTGGTGCTCCTCTGTTTTACATGGTAGGATTTGGTTTGGTCACCGCCGATTGGATTCCATGCTCTGGTGTCAGCTGTCTGGAGAACCTTGGCTCCGGGGGGACCATGCCATCTTCTGTTGGTAGAAGTTCCCCGGGGAAGATTTTCCTCTTTCTCCACTCTCTTTCCTCTTACTTGCCCTTCTTCTCTTGCCTCTCTCAGTTTCTTTCAGTGTGTCTCATTAACCTGGAATCAGTAAGACCCCTGCCAGTTGACTCTCCTCATCCCCATCTGGAAAATCGGGAAGACTTAAACTCCCGAACAGCTCTAATGACTACACCATACGCATTTGTCTTTGAAACCCATCTCCCATCTTCTAGCATTACAACATCCATACACTCCAGACTCTCCTGTGCTATTAGATGAATTTCTTAAGATATATTTTCCCCCTAGACAAGGCTGCGACGCTTCCTCACGAGCAGAGAAAGTTGCATGCAGAAAAGGTGAGACAATCAGTCAGGTATTTATTGAGTGTCTACAGAAGGTCTGTTAATGTTATTATATGTCACACTTGTTGATTTCTGTAAGTGCCTTAGTGTGAACTTTTCTTTGGATATTAACTTGGAACGAATTGAATGTTTACACTGTAGTAATATAATTGCTGTAGTCAAACCAAGATTTTTCAAATGTATGTTGAGTGACATGGAACTTTAATTGAGACTCAGGATGTTTGCCTTCTTAACTGTTGGGCTGGAAAACTCCCAGTTGTTTTGTTTTGTTTTGTTTTGTTTTATTACCAATGCAACACATGCTCTTGGCAGGAAATGTATGTGGTTTATGGTATTTCATTGTATGAATGTGTCCTAATTTATCCATTTCCCTTTTGGACGTGTAGGCCATGTGCATTTTTTGCTTCTATAAATAGTGAAGCTGTGCATAACCTTACACATCCATCACCTTTGTACGTAACTCTGATTTTAGACTCAGTATGCATTTCTAGAAGTCGAAGTCCTGGGTCAGGGTATTCAAGGGTTTTGATATATGTTGCTGGAAGGCTGGAGGGCAAGGATAGCATTTTAGGTCTTGATCAGTTGAGCATATTGACTGACACATGAAACAAGCTGAAATGTAGCTGTTGCCTAAAATGTGTTGCACGCTTCTCTCCACAGGTGGCCAAGGCCTTCTGGATGGCAATTGGGGGAGACAGAGATGAAATTGAAGGCCTTTCATCGGATGAAGAACACTAAATTATTTGTGCTAGGGTTTGACTGCCTGAGATCTTCCCTGCTCCACCCAGTTCTCTTCTGCCGAACTTCCCATCATCGTGATGGCCACCTGACTTAGTTCTAGGGTCCCCTTAATTTTAGTTCTTACTAGGGGATAGTAGGGGTTTCCTCTCTCAGTATATCTTAAGGGAGTGAGGAGTATCATGACAGCAAGGAGGGAGTTTTTTTCAAATATACTTTTTCTAGGAACGGGAGCGAAACGAGGCTCAGGGGCCTGTGTGATTTGCCCCGGTTGAAGAAGGAGGCCACCACGCCATTCCCAGTCCACCTTTTATGTGGTGTCCTCTGTGGCCACACTCAATTACTACAGGTCAGGAGCTGGTGCCACTTTTCCTCAAGCTTCTGGATTTTCTGCTTTCGGGGAGCTTCCTGCTCCAAGCTTTGTTGCTTTTGGTGGGAGGCGAGGAAGCTGCCACAGACTTGATTTGTGCCATAGTGTAGGTGGAGCCAGAGTCCGTGGCCCTCAGGTTAGTCTCTAGCTGAAAAATGCTTCTGGGCACTTCATTGGAAATACAGTGTCTCAGCTCATGCTAGAAACAATGGAAAAAACCAGGGTGAATTCTTAGATTATACTAGATGAGGCAAAACAAACTCATCTACCAAGTTGTTGTGGGGGGGGG